CCCCAAAACCCCAAAACCCCAAAACCCCAAAACCCCAGATTTGGTAATTTATATTGAAAGCTTAACTATTTTACTTGAAGTTCTTGATCGATTCTAAAAAATTAGCTTCTCTTATTGTTCAGGCATTGTTTTCCAATAATTTCTAACTCACCAAAAATTATTAGAAACTCAAAAATGTATCATAGCAAAGCAATACTTTAACACTTAAATAACTCCTTAAGGTCATTAGACACAAATATTAGCCTTTTCAAGAATATATTAATTTTAAAAATATTTTAAAAATAATTAAGAATTATTCCAAAACTTTTCACTAAAGTCAACTATTTCTATATCAGGGGTAATCCTTAGCTTATTTATAAACTTTCTAGCTCAAGTCATTGATCCCTTGTTGATTTCACAAGTTTTTACTTTTTCTTTTATTTCATAAAATCCTCCATGAATAATAATTTGGTTGGCAAAGGATGGTTTGCTGGTCTTGATAGGGCACACTTTAATTTTTCCAAAGTTAGGTAACTTGGAATATCTTTCGATTTTGGATAGCAGAAGGTCTTCTTTCTTCTCCTCTTCTCGATCTTCAAGTAGTACAAGGACACTGAACTTTTTGAACATCCTCAGAGTTGGTTCGGTGAAACAGTCAAAATGAAGATTTTCGTTGTTAGAAACTATCGCGAGAGTAGTCACGCTAGATTCTCTGCCCTTTAGATGCTGTAGCATCTTTCTATAATAAGATGGTTCACTTAATTTGTTTAATTGCCAAAAATTGGAATCAAGACCAATATTGATGTCTCAGGCTTTGCTTACTAAGCTGTAAAAGCTATTGGACTTTATGATTGTACCTTCTTTAGTAACTTCTTCGGATTTTATAGTAAGATTCTCCATATGGGCAAACTCATTGATTGAGACAATCTCAGAGATCGGAAAAACCAGCCACTTACTCATCCTTTGGGATATATGTGATTCCCAAGAATCAATTCCAATTTTGTTGAGTTCTGCTTTTGGGTCTTTAATTCTCTCTATATTGGCAATTGATATGACTTCAAAAGACTCAAAGACAAGGTTGTGTTTGATCTTTTTGTATAATTTTGTTCATATTTGAATGGATCATTTAAACAAACTATGCATCTCTGTGTGCTCTTTTGGAAAGAAAAGAATTGCCGTCCTTGCCTTGAGTTTTAAAGTGTCGTAAAATTCTTCGATAATTCTTGAAACTTTAAAATTTACCTTTGTTGATTCAAGTGCTTGCAAGGCAAAGCTCAAACAAGTATTGTCAATGCTATAAGTTTTAGGTGGGTTTAGCTCTTCCAAGTCAGGGTATCATTTTTTGATAATCTTATTGAAAACTTTGGCTCACTCTAATTTTTCATGAATGTCCTCAAATCAGGTTTCCTTCACAAATGCAATTCTCAAAATGTTTTTAAAAACTGGAATCTTGTCGCTCTTCAGCTCGATCATAGAAAGGTTTGGGCAATCTTTAGATTTGTTTCCTCAAAAACGGATTTCCTTGTGGTTGACAGAGTACTTAGAATTTATGAATACAGTAGCTTCAGTACCATCAATCTTCGGATAAGCTTGCAACCCGCTAAGATATCTATGAAACACACACTCAATCGAGAATATATTACTATAGAAATATGCAGTCCTTTTTCCTTTGTTGTTTTGGTACGTTTTTATATGAGGTGGCTCGAGGTTTAATGGGATCGACAGTTGTTCCAGTACATATTGGAAACGACTTTTTCATTTTTGACCGCTTTCATCTCTAAACCTTTCAAAATAATCTCAAATATCACTTATCTTAATCATTTTTACTTGGCTTGGACTCGGGATTGAGCTAAGGAACTTTTTGATCTTTCTCAGGTATGATCCTCTGAATAGCTTCCTAGCATTCAAGTCAAGGCTTCAGTTCTGAAGTAGGGTATTCAAAATCCAATAATCAATGTTAGCATCGTTAACTTCAATTGTTCCCGCATTTTCGTTGATTTTGACAATCCAGTTTTTCAAGTTTCCCTTCCAGAGCTCCCTCGATTTATGGGAAAACCGTGTCATGAACGTATTGCAGCCAAGAATTTTAGCGTAGTACTCCAGGACTGTCATGGCTCAGGATTGCTTTTGGAATAAAAATTTCCTCTTGTTCTGGCAGGGCAAAGTTTTTTTGGGTGTTACTTTTGTATCTGACATCTCGTGGATAACTTTGTTTAATGGGGAATTGCCTGAAGTTTTAGGGTGATTTTTTAGAAGTTTCATTTATCGTAATTTTTGAAGGAAGGGTATTAGATTAAGGAATTTAGTAGATATTCTTAGCAAATCAATCCGCCTTTTTGTATAAGGGGTTTTGGGGTTTTGGGGTTTTGGGG